AATAAATAAATATTATATTATTTTTAAAAGGTATATTGAATATTGATGACTGTATATCAATCTACATCTGTATCATCTGTATGTAATCGTCTTGACCATTAAGTGATTAACTGTTAACTTAATTTAATAATATTAACTAAACATAAATTTACTTACTATTAGATTGTTCTGTAGAAGGATCCATTATTTTACTAGGTAATTTTGATAAAACTTCAAGGGCAAGTGCAGGACATCCTGCTTTAAAATGAGCGTGTGCAGTTTTGAAATATAGTTGCCTTTCTAAAGGAGAAATGGAATCTTCTAACATTAACTGAAACAAATTGTATACATCAATATCAATTTTCAAATTCAAATACAATATTTTAGTTACTTGTCGATCAGAAGTTTCTCTACACCTAGCATCAGAACCGTAACTAAAACCAGCTAATACTACAGTATGATTCTTTTTATCTTGATACGTGGATGCTAAATAGTGTCTTATTAACAATGGATGTGTACGGAGATAAACATAGAAATTGAACACATTTGGATTAGCTACAAACAGTATTTATATATATATTAAAGATTAAAATATTTATTGTATTTTAAATTTTAAATTTTCAAACATACCAGCTGAAGTTTCTTGTTTTTCCTCATCATTATATTGTGGATGCATTGTACCTACGTTCATTTGGACTAATGTATTAAGACTTCCAGTAGAATCTTTAAGTATCCAAAGAGCCATAGAACGTAAGAATGGGTCTGGATTAGCCATAGATAATTTTTGATTTTCACCATTCTGATCACAACCAAGTATTTCCTACAAAAATTAAGTTAATTTAAGAATGAACATAATTCAGTTATAAATTAGTCTTTTAATAGTGGAAAAATCAGTTAATTTTAAATATACCTCATACAAAAGCCGTTTAAGACTGGGTGGAGTAGAATCAATTTCACCCTCATATAACCGAGCTATCACCATAGCTAATTGTAAGTCATCTAGTTTATTTAAGCATACCTAAATATAAGTTTGATTTTAATATTAATTATATATACATAATTAATGCATTTTAAAGTATGAAATAATTACTTCAATTGCATCCCTAAGAGCTCCAGCTAAAAGGAAAAATGCAGCAGCGTGTTCAAATCGTTGTTTTCCAAGTAATGCAAATGCATTTTTTAGAGCTGCCTTTCGCCAACGGTCTTCCGCAAAATTATTGGAAAAGAATTGAGTCATTCGCTCATCTCTTTTAGACCTAAATAATCCCCAAACTAAAGACTTCTTTTTCATTGCAAGATAAAAAATAGCAGCGTCTAAAGGATCTTGGTTTGTCTGGTATGCCGCTTTAGCGATCTGAGACAAATTTTATTTTTATCAATACAATTAGTTTTTAACTAATATCTTGAAATAAAAACTTACTTTCTCAATACATGTTCTCAATAATGTCTGATTTCTGAGCCACCACCCAACACCTAATTCTTTTAATGCTGACCAACGTGGTGTTCCTCGTACATAAGAAGGTGTCAATTGTAATAGTTCTTCTTCACTTTCAGAGTGGAATGCCCATGCAATATCTGCTGAACACATACCTCTTTTTTGAAATTGAGTACGCTGAGCTACACCCAAACATCTTAGTAAATAATTGTAATGTTTCATTGCCAGCAAAAATCTAAGACCACAGTCATCTAATGAATCTGAAAAACATAATCATAATTAATTTTTCTACCTTAAACTTAGTCTTTCTTTAACTAACCTGAACACACTTCACCTTCTTGTGGAGCTGAACTATCTTTCGCAAACTGTGTCTTATCTACAAACCTATCAGCAAAGTCTGTGTTACATGTAGATACAGTATCGGCAAGGGCTAGCAAGTGCATTTGATCTAAACTTGATAAACCGGGCAAATGCGTATGAGTTAACAGACGAGACAAGAGTTGACCTTGTTTTGGTCCAAAATGAGAAAGTAGACATTGTTGTTTTTCTGTTGCATTAGATTGACGCTCACATCTACGAGGGCTTTCTGGTTCTGATTCATCATTCAATATGTCATCTAAATTATCTTCTGATGTTGAAATGTTTCCATTAAATAATTCATTATAATCTTTTTCATCTTCAGCTAACTTAAGAGCAGTACTGGCATTTTCTTTATCAGCGGCCAACAGTGTCCATAAAGGTAAAGGTGGAATAGAGGTGATTTCTGCATAATCCAACATCAGTTCCTCTGGTATTGCTGTAGTGGATCCCCTAGGTTCCATTGGACTTGTAGCTAATAATGATAATAATAATATTTGTAAGCAAATGAATATCATTGAAATATTTTTATTTAGAATTTACCAGTTCCAGCATAGCTCACAGATAATGTTCTAGATCTTGACCACCCTCTTTGACGAGTTAAATTATCTTCTTCTGAATAAGAACACACAACAGCACCTTGTCTTACACTGCATGTTGTTGAAATACACCTACAAGTTTTATCATTTCATATTTGTAAACAAAAATAATATACAATGATATTTAATTTAAATCATTGGTTTACCTGACAAGATGTGCAAGAATCGCTTTCACCCAACGGATTTTTCCAGAATTCAATAGTTCCATTAGTTGTTTAGGGTGATATTGAGGAAGAACTGGACATGCTATCCGACTAGCTTCAAATAGTCCATAATCTGGCATATAAGAATCTTGAATATTATTTGTAGAGTCCCCATTCTGGATACCCAATTTCTTTTTTTTTGTCTCAGCAGTTAACATATTTAAATTGATTGAGCTGACACGAGACAAATGAGGCATTGAACTTACGTTAGCCAATCGTCTTTGGGATGTTTCCTAAGTATGATAACAATACAAAATACAATTTTTTTTTTAGAGTTATTTGTTTTTCAAATATTTAAGATTACATGAGCTAAAGTTCTAAGATCTTCATCTCTTAAATTTCTAGTGTCTTGAAGCTCATCAGATTCTTGATGTATTAACTTGCAACACAATAAAGCATTCTTTTGTATCGTATCTGAATATGGTTTACATTTAATTCATATATTAAATCATTATTTTAAAATAGTTCAGATGTTGTAAATACATAATTCTCCAATATACTTACATGTATTTGGTTTCCACTGTGAATATACATGCATTTCACTATCCATGCCTACAACTAATATACCATCACGAACCCAAGATATTTGCATTGGAAGTGGAGGCAAACCATCTGCTGTAGTAAGATCAATTTTTCTGAGTTTCATCCATCTAAGCAAAATAATAGTGATTAGTATGTGATTATTATTTTATTGAAGAATACTCATCATCTCAAAAGGTAACAAATTTTTTTTTACATAATTTAAAACTTATATTCATACTTTTTAAAAATATAAAGCAGAATACCTTTTAGAGTACTTCTTTATTCAAGTTATATAAGTATCCATATTTGGAAGAGTAACTATGAGCCGTAAGAATTTAAAGTCGAGATGAGAGAATTCTAACAAATATATACCACCACATGTTTGTAATAACTCCACTAATCAAAACTTTAAACACCTACTTATAAATATATAACTAATAATTAATTAACTACTCATCCAAAATTTTATTTTAATGTTATATTTAAATACTCCAGACACTATTCTGCTTTGGAATGTGAAATTACAAAACAAATGTTATTAATAAAAAAAGTAAAAACTTATAATCAATAATGACAATTTGTAAAAAAAAAATATAATTTTTATATAAAATATATATTATATATATATAAATGATATAATGTTTCTCCAGAAATATGAGATTTTGAATTAATGAAAATTTAAAATTAATTAAATTATATGTATAGGTAACTAAAATTTACCTTATTTCATCAACGAAATTGGGAGAAGCTAGAGACGAAGCTTTTCGTAATATTGGACGGTTTACTGATTGGGATTCTTTCATTGCTTTCATATTAGCTTGAGCTAAATCACTAGATACTGGTGTGAACAACATTATCTATACAAAAGTATAAATATAAAAAGTA